CGGATGAACACTATCAAACACAAGTGAGTTAGAGGGCTCCCAAGCACTACCACATAAGCCACCAAGGCTCTAGTGTGCTCAGCTCTTAGCCAAAGGCCAACGAACACTTCTATTTATAGCCCCACGGGCTAAAATAGCCGTTACCCCTTCACTGGGCAGATTTCGGGATGACCGGACGCATCCGGTCACTGCTTGACCGCCACGTGTCCCATGCAAATGAAGTAGCCGTTGCCGCCCAACAGCCCTCTCTGACACGCTCTGACGCGACACATCAAATGCACTACAGCGAAGTGATCGGACGCAGGAGGGGCAGCGTCTGGTCGAGTCCAGCGGCTAGAATACCGGACGTGTCCGGTATCGATATCGGACGAGTCCGATCATGTCAGGAACACTACCGCCGGAGACAGATACCGGACGTGTCTGATCCTCATGTCGAACGTGTTCGGTCACCCCGTGACCACCGCATTCAACTCCTTTTCTTCATCAACTTCTTCTCCTTTGCAAATATGCCAACACCACCAAGTCTACAACACCTTGTGCACGTGTGTTAGCTTTTGACAAATAGTTACTCAAGGAGTTAACCACTCAACTTGCCGTGCCACTCAATCCTAGCAACGATGCAAAGTTAGATCACTCGAGTGGCACTAGATGACCGATATGCAAACAAGTTTGCCCCTCTTGATAGTACGGCCATCTATCCTAAACCCGGTCATCAACTTCTCTACACACCTATGACCGGTGAAATGAAATGCCCTAGGTTATACCTTTGCCTTACGCATTCCATTCCATCTCCAATGTCGATGCAACACATGCACCAACACGATCAACAATGATATGATCCACTTCATATCATCACGTGATCATATTGGTTCATCGATCTTGACTTCACTTGCTCTTCACCGTTGCCTCAGTCCATCGGTGCCAAGTCATCACTCAACTTGCCCTTCACACTTGCAACCGGTCCGTCAAGCCAAGTCATGTCTTGATCTTCTCCACCTTGATCACATGACTCAATGTCATGTCTCATGTGCAATGAGCTCCTTCATCATCACATGTGTGAGCTTTGCAACATCTTCGAGTCATTTCCACCTCCATGGCAAATGTTGCTCACACATATGTACCTGTGGACTAATCACCTGTGTATCTCACATAAACACAATTAGCCCACCTAGGGTTGTCACTCAATTACCAAAACTAAACAAGGACCTTCCAATTTCTTAGGACAACCCGACATGTCTGAACCAGCTTGCTATGAATATCGGCCATGTGTCGATGGTGATGTAGGAATGCGAGAGATCTTCTTTTGGATCGGTTCGACAGGAGCTAGCAAGAATGCGTAGCGAGTTGGAGAACGTGCGAAGACAGTCGTTGCATTATGGACCATTGAGATAGGAAAGGCAACTGATGGCAAAAACATCTGAGCTTTTGTCAAGAGAAGAATGCAAGGAGAAACAACGATCCCGAATTGAATGGCTCAAGGAGGGTGATCGGAACACGGCGTTCTTCCAAGCAAAGTCGAAAGAGAGCAAAAACCATTCGAATCATGGCTCTGAGAAGAGAGGATGGCTCGGTGGTGTCTACCCAGGAGGAATTGGAGGTGACGGCCATGGAATTTTATACATAGCTCTTTACCACGCAAGAGGTATTTGATCTGGGCCCGATCCTTAGTTGTGTACCTACAAAAGTTATGACAGATATGAATGACCTTCTGTTGAGACCGTTCACTGCAGAAGAGGTTCAGGAAGCGTTGTTCATGATGGGTGCAAATAAGGCTCCCAGACCCGATGGTCTAACGGTGGGTTTCTATCAGTTTCACTAGGCCACATTGGGGCCAAGTGTCACAGAAGCGGTGCTGGATTTCTTGCATGGAGGTCTTATGCCGGAGTCTGTTAATAGGACTACCATAGTGCTAATTCCGAAGATCAGAAATCCACAAGAGATGAAACAGTTTAGGCCAATTTCTCTCTGCAATGTGATCTACAAAATCTGCTCTAAAGTTTTGGCCAATAGATTGAGATGTTGTCTGGATGATATAATCTCTGAAGAACAAAGTGCTTTTGTCCCTGGGCGTCTAATTACAGACAACGTGTTAGTTGCTTATGAGTGCACCCATTACCTAAAGCGGAAAAAGGGGAAAGGTGGCGACTGTGCAGTAAAGCTTGATATGGCCAAGGCATATGACCTCGTGGAATGGGAGTATCTCAGCGGAATCATGTTGAAGCTGGGCTTTCATGAAACGTTCGTCGCATTAATCATGAGGTGTGTGACGTCAGTTTCTTTTTCAGTTAAAGTTAATGGGCACTTGTCATTGTCTTCATGCCTTCAAGGGGGATAGGCAGGGGACCCAATATCCCCGTACTTGTTTCTCCTTTGTGCTGAAGGACTTTCATGTTTATTGAAATCGGTCAGCCCAATGCATCTCTCCAGGGGTGTTCGTGTGGGAATCCATGCTCCCTGGGTTTCACATCTTCTCTTTGCGGATGATTGTATCGTATTTTCAGAAGCGTCGCAGAGGGGGCAGTTCGATTATAGGAAATTTTGGAGACCTATAGTCAGGGGTTTGAACAGATGGTGAACAAGGATAAATCGACAGTCTTTTTCAGCTCGAATTGTGATGAGCAAGTCAAGCAAGAGTTTAGGCATGAGCTACACATCGAAACTGAAGCTTTGTCTGACAAATATTTAGGGTTGCCAACTGCGGTTGGGAGGTCATCTTATGAGGCCTTTGATTTCATGGCCACAAGAATCAAAAATCTGGTTGGAACTTAGAGTGGTAGGGAAGCAAGCTGTGCCGGCCGCGAAGTGCTTCTTAAATAGGTGGCTCAGGCAATCCCTACATATTCTATGTGCTGCTTCCTTCTATCCAAGACGACATGCAAGAAGATGAGATCGACAATTGCAAATTATTGATGGGGGAGTTCAGCTGATAATAGGCATATACACTGGTTGAGATGGGATCGGCTAACACATCATAAATCGGCTGGTGGTATGGGCTTCCGAGATCTACATCTCTTTAACAAAGCAATGTTGGGCAAACAAGGTTGGCGATTGGTGATGTGTCCAGATAGCCTGTGCGCGGGTGTTGAAGGGAAGATACTACCATGTCGGTGATTTCATGGGCAGTACCAGGAGGAAACATGCTAGCCATACTTGGCGGGCAATCCTAGCGGGCAGGGAAGTTTTAGAAAGGGGCATGATTAGGAGGATTGACAATGGTGAGTAGACCAACATATGGAGAGACAGGTGGATACCTGCTCATTTTGATGCCCGACCGATCACTCCTGGAGATGATCATGCACTTACTATGGTGTCTAAACTCATGACTGCATCGGGAACTTGGAATGAGGTACTCATACATGATGTTTTTCTCCCGATCGACGCAAATGCCATTCTTAAAATCCCTATACGTCAACAAGATGATGACCGGTGGGCGTGGGAGCTTGAGAAGCATGGGAACTACTCTGTCAAATCGGCCTATCGAAAGCTGTATGCGATAAATGGACGAGGAGATGAGGAGCTACCGAGTGGCTCAGGCGATGATTCCTAGACAAAGATTTGAAAATTAGCAGTGCCTCCAAAAGTCAAAATTTTCTGGTGGAGAGTTCTCCACGAATTCCTTCCAGAAAAGGAAATCTTACATTGGAGGCATATTGAGCCGACGGCCTTTTGTGAGTTGTGCGAAGCTGACACGAAATCTATCAAGCACATTCTTACTGAGTGCACTGCAGCAAAGATGTTTTGGCGAGAGGTGAAGCTATCACAGGGATGAAGCTGCCCAGTCTCCATCCGATACCATGGGCAAGCGACCTGCTGATGGATGGCTTGTGCAACGACAGGTTTCGTGTCATTTTCATTATTGGCATGTATGCACTCTGGATGCAACGGAATCAGCGACGACATGGTGACACTCACAAACCAGTCAGTGCTGCGGTCCGCTGGTTACTTGACACAGCCATCAACTTATGGAACTTGAACAAGCCGATGAATTCAGTGAAGGAGAGGAACAGTGTGCATCAATGGTGTGCGCCGCCGCCCGGTTGGTTCAAATGTAATATTGATGGTGCTTTTTATCCGGACCAAGGGCAAGGTGCGTCTGGGGTAGCCCTCCGAAACGACTCAGGTCTCTTTGTTAGTGGACGGGCAAGGTGGTACCTCATGGCCTTGATGCATTGACCCTGGAAGCTTTGGCTTGCCGGGATGGTACTATTCTAGCTCGGGATAAGGGGGTGCGTCGACTTATTGTGGAGACTGACAGTCAAGAATTTGTGAAGCTATGGAAGGAGGGCGCCAATCAATGTTCACGGATTGCGTCAATCATCAGAGAAACTCGGGAAATTAGCCCTTCCTTTGTTGATTTTTCTGTAATGTTTACAAGTCGATCTTGTAACCGAGTAGCTCATGTACTAGCTAAGCAAGTTTCAGGTGATAATAGGCTGGATGAGTGGCAGTTAACCCTGATTGATCTATGAATGAAATCACCGAGTCGCAAAAAAAAACAATTTCTTTTTTCGTGCTTGTTATTTTCTCTACTGTTATTGTTGGTTTTAATAATTTTGGTGCATTCTAATGTAATTTTTTTTTAATCATAGCAATTATATATTATGCAGACAAGAACAAATAATATTTTTTTGTGACTTAACAAATAATATTTGTGAAAGAATTTTTGTTTACGAAAATATGTGCTGGTGTCAGTAATGTAGTGCTGAGGTCAGCAGAGCCTCGCCGATCTGATTCGAGCAGTTACGCAAAATTTTCGCGCGCCCGCGAAAACGCGAGGCCTTATCCTACTCGAACCAAAAATTGAATTCGAGTCGGAGTCGTAACTCGTAAGCGTTAGAGCGACGCCACCGGCCACCACCATCGCAGCTGTCGGATCCCCTTCCCTGCCCTTCTGCCAATCGCTTCTTCCCATCTCGATTCGCAATTCCCTCTCTCTACTCTCAACTCGTCTTTCGATCCAAGATTCCCACTGCCTCCGCTCCCAATCTCGAGTTGAGATCATGTCTGGGGCGGTGGCGGTGGCGCCGACGGCTAGCAAGCGTCCGGCACCGGACCAAGAAGCACGCGCTGCTGCTGACGCGAACAAGCGACTGCGGCACTGCGGTCCCCGAAGCATCCACGAGTTCGAGCTGTTAGAGGTGCTCGGTGAGGGTGCCGAAGGCGTCGTGCGCAGGGGGCGCGACCGCCGCACCGGCAAGAAGGTGGCGCTCAAGTGGATCAGCGGCGATGGGCCCGACGGCCACGGGCCTCCTGACCGCCGCGCGCTCGCCATGGAGGCCGGCTGCCTCCACGCGTGCCGCGGCCACCCCTCGATCATCGGGATCCAGGATGTCGCCGCCGACCCTAGCACTGGGGACGTCCACCTTGTGTTGGAGCTGGTCCACGGCGGGGTAAGCCTCCGCGACTCCATGTGGAGGCCCTTGTCCGAGGACGTGGTCCGCGTGATGATGCAGCAGCTCCTCAGCGCTGCCAAGAAGATCCATGGTGTAGGCTTCATCCATCGGGACATGAAGCCAGAGAACATCCTCGTCTGCCCTTTCGGCGAGCTCAAAGTGTGTGACTTTGGATCGGCGACGCGACAGAAGCCCGCCGGGAAGGCGCATGAGACCTCCCCCGTCGGGACGCTGCAGTACAACGCGCCGGAGCTGCTCGACGGCAATTGGTACTACGGCCCGGCTGTCGACATGTGGGGCCTCGGGTGCGTTATGGCGGAGCTTCTAAGCGGTGAGACTCTGTTCCACGCAGAGACACATGAGGAGATGTTTGACGAGATGTCCGAGCTTCGAGATCGGATGACCTCTGCAGCCGGAAAGCTTGATCCAGAATGTTTGGTAGATCTGTCGGAGATTGGGCGTGATGTGCTGACGGGCCTGCTGGCCTTCTGCCCTGAGAAGAGGCTCACCGCGGCGGAAGCGCTTGAGCACCCGTGGTTCAAGAACTTCAAGTCACCCTGGACACATGACATTGTTTAGATCGCTGCTAGTAGCTGTTTCTTGATATAGGATTGTAGTACCACAGGGACTATTTCATTGCATTGTAAGTAGCGGCTTAGCTGATTCATGTAATGTTATGAAGCAACCTAATTCATTGTTGCTTCCTTGCCATTTATTTGTTGTTTGACCAATCTTCGTAGCAGGAATTGATCAGTGTAATATTTGTTCAATTCAATAAATTAATAAAATGTCGACTTTGTTTTATAAACTGTCTCTTGTTATCTATTCCCAGTACTGGATCTACAAATGCCAGTGGCTCAGGAAGTTGCAGCTCTTGTCAGGAAGTAGTAGATTCTAGCCTTGAGGAAATGCTCTGACACAGATTCACCTCAAATTTTTTTAGATAAGCTTCGCCTCAATTACCAACGGTAAAGCTAAAGGTATGAGAGTTGTGAGTTACTATTCCTTATTTTCTTTGGCCTTTAAGTGCATCTGCTGTTTGAGTTACAGGTCTGAATCATCTGAATGGTGTTGTGCCTCCATTGATCCACAGGGATAGCGACTAAGATTTTGGATTGGAATGGGTCACGGAGAAGCAGATTCTATAGAGCTTCGTCCTGGTTACTACGGAGCTGGAGCTCATGTCCTAGTGTGCTTTGACTGACAGGAAGCATCGTCACAGAGGATACTTGCTCTGTCGCTGACCCAGTTAAACAAACAGGTACTGGTTAACTCTGCCATAGCCCATAGGGCATGTTAAGATCAGAATACTACACATCATAATACTCAGCACATGTTTTTGTCAGTTCAATTCGGACCTTTCTTACCAGGTGTCTTATTCTTTTACCAATGACAGATGAAACGAATAGCTGAATCTTGCATATTGATGAGGATCTGTTGAATATTATGAATAGTTTGCAATCCATTTGGGGGGCAGATTTTTGTTTCCAGTTTGCTCCATGGAGTGTCACTAAATTCCTTTCATCAAGTCTATTTCCAATGCTTTTTTTTCCATTACGTGAAATGACTCTTTGTTTAGAACTTCTTTTTTTATCCAAACACATGTAGTACTTGGGTCAGACAGGGGTAGTGATGCTTTCAAATACAGGATACACTTGATTTGCTAGGACCGTAGATCGAGAAGGTGTATGCACGATTGTGAACGTTCAGCAGAGATTGAAAAAAAAAACTAAGGAGGCAGTTACCAACCTCTCATCGGGAGATTATTGAGCCAACCTATATTCAACTTCAATGGCATTCAGCAGAGATCACAATGACAATTTAGTGATATAAGATAAGAGTATGTGGATTGTACATGTAAAGAATTCTTCAGGAATGTGTAGCCAGGGATCATGACATTTGGTGACACTGTCCATCATAATACTTCTAGGGACCTCAAAAACCAATATATATAAGCTTGTAGTAGTAGTAGTATTTGTTTTGGTTCCGGCAAATGGTCTACAATTAAATTTGTCTTGTATATTTAAATAAACTTCTACATATTGGTTACCTTAATGTAAAATTATGTCAAAGTCTGTAATAGATTCAATTGCAAGTTAGATTAGGGTCACCATTGCTTGTTTTAATTCTTGACAAGTATGGGAAGGAGGTGTTTGAGGAACTCTCCCTGTTGCAGGTCTCAGCTTAGCTTCATTCCATTCCAGACATTAGGTTTTGTTCCAAAAATTCCAAAAAAAAATGATATTAAATCTTTCCTTACTGTTTGAACTATATATAGCATTGCGTACACGGCCGGACGAAATGAGGACATCACGGTTGAACTTTGCACCTTTTATGGCAGCTTGGTTTCTGAACTCGATTAGTTCTAACCTGGACATCAGACTTTTTCAGGATCCCTTTTGCAGGGGTATTCAGCAGCTGACTTGCGATAGAGCATTCATGAGCATTACAAAATGCATATCAAAGCTTTCCTATGCATCATTTGTTAGCTCCGGGTGATTCCTTAGAAATGCAAAATACGCCATTTAGTTCATCGACGTCAGAATGCTGCTGTCGAGCCAATTTGCTGACAGCCCCAATCAGATAAGATAGAAACTGTCAGACCAGAATGGCGCCTAGCTCTCGTGATTGCAATGGTTAACCACAAGGGGCGGTATTGCATTCAAGGGGCGGTGTTGCATTTACTAAACTCCAGCTAAGACTGCCACTTATAAATCGAAGGCCACATTAGTGTGAATGAACTGGTAATGAAGGGTTGTGAGTTTGAAGCCATGAAAAAACATTGTGCGCACACATTTTTGTATGACTTGATGGAGGTTGTGTTGTGATAGTAGTTTGTGGGTGATCTTCAAGGTCCACCCCATCCATTTCAAATTATAAATCGTTTTAATTTTTTTATATATAACTTTAATTATATATCTGAATATGTATATTTATGTCTTGATATATGATAAAATTATGTACCTAGAAAAGCCATATATAATAGAGAGAGAGAGAGAGAGAGAGAGAGTAGAATTTTACTCTTTGATTTTATTTATTTTTTTGTGGTTGGAATATTTCTAGTGGCTAATCAAAGTGACAAGAATCGGCATTATGCTGGGCCACATCTCGAGAATGCGACTACAATTAAACATAAAAGAACTATGTCACCGTATATTTTTGTTCCTTTGAAAAGCTTGTCCCCCACAAATCGTTTATGGTGAAACTACAACACATAACATAGCAAAGCTATTGATCTACTCCCTCTATCCCATAAAAGGTGTCATTTCACTTCTCAAGAAGTCAATTAGTTTCAACTTTAACCGAATATATATGTAAGAAAATATTAACATTTATGATGCATAATTAGTATCACTAGCAAAAAGTGGTTGTGTGTTACAACAGGACATATAACTTGTTAATCACCTAGATAAATTGTAACTCGGAGATTTACTTAATTAATAGTCGTGTTATGCACTTGAATTTGTCTTAGAATTAGATTACGTGTCATGCTTGTGAGATGTGCTGTCTAACTCATATGTCCAAGCAAGGCTTGATGATTTATCCCATGACTGACATTCATTTCAATTCGCCTTGTAATTGGATTTTTTGCGCCCCTTCTGGACACATTGTTCTAACTCATACGGACAAGGAAGAGAGTGATAGACCATAAAAATGCTTGGTATCTACATTCTTCTTGGGAGCATACTCCATACTATGACCCAATTCGCTGGTCTGAAACTTGACTGAAAAATACTGTTCCAGCTGGTTTGTTGTGAGAGAAAAACACTGTTCGGATGATTTGATGAACAGTACTTGTGAGAGGATCTAGCCGGCTGGCTGAACCAGTCAGACCAGCGAACACCACCTATATGTACATAAGCTGCTCTAACTCTCGTACAACACGGGATAGAGTGAAAAACAATGAAAACGTTATATAATTGAGGCATAACAATACGTACTTTAGATAAAAAAAAACATTATTATAAACATTTCTATGAAATTTATCTAAAAAATATGCCCTTGCACCCTGTTGTTCTATTGTCCCATAGCGAGACGTCCTAATCTAAAGCGCTGCATGAGCCAAATAGCCTCTCTTTTTTTCTAGGCCGAACTAACCCAAACCATAGTTATTGGAACCGGCCAGACCCACGGTTCGACCGCTAAAAGACCAAACCAGAACCTAAACCGGTCCGGTTCAATTAAAAGACCATTTGTGTTTGAACCGGTAAAAACCGGTGGAACCAGCCGGTTTTTTGTGGAACCGCTGAACCGGCCGGTTCCATATGAACCAGAGGCTTTTACTCGTGTGTCATTAAAAAAGTTTGAAATTATGTACAAGCCATTAAAAAAATTCAGCTCCCACAGGTGCCATCGTTCTAAATTTCTTTGCTCTCCAAGCCATTTCGTCCGCTTTTCTATTTAACGGTGTCAAACAGGCAGATGAAATGACCATTTTACCCTACACTAGGGTCCGTTTATCAGCCACCCAAACTTTCTCTTTCTCTTGTGCCTCCATTCGGCGCTCTCGTGCTCCTGCTGTCGTCGCGGCGCTGGCGGCGCGGGTGGCGCCTGGCGTGGAACGCCTCGGACAGGCTCGACGGCGAATCTCGTGACCACGGCGGCCACAACGGCCTTCATCTGCACATACGCCATCTCCTTCCTGAGGCACGCCCGCGGGCCGCGTGAAAGACCGGGTACCTCGCCGCGTCCACCGCCACGAACTCGCCGCCGCCGTCGAGCCACCGCTCGGGGCGGAACTCGCGGCAGTCATCGTCCCACAGCTGTGGCATCCTCCCCATAGCGTACGCGCAGTAGTCCGAGAACCAGCCGCCGTGCACAGTAGTGCCGTCCGGCAGCACATCCCCCACGGCCGCCGCCCGCGAGTTGATGGGCACCGGCGGGTACAACCGCATCGCCTCAGTGATCGGCGCGTGTAGGTAGTGCATCCCCCTAAGCTCGTTGTAGCCGCCGCCGTCGACATCGTCGACGCCGTGGTCGTCTCCGTGTCCGTGGAGCGAGAGCGACGCCGCCTCCTCATACACGCGTCGCTCGCAGCGCGAGTTGGCGGCGAGGAGCCAGAAGAACCATGTGCGCGCGGAGGACATGGTGTCCTTCCTGGCCAGCACGAAGCTGACGACGATGTCCCGCAGGAACCGCCGCTTCGCCTCCGGTGACCGGAACATGGCGTCGAGCTCGCTCCCCTTGTCTTCCACCATCGCCGCCGCGAACCGCGACAACAGGTGCTGCTCGTCGTCGCCGTGCCCGCGCGGCCGCTCCTCCATGATCGCTGCGACGTCCTCGTCGACAACGCGGATGGCCTCGTAGAGCTGCCTCTCGCTTCCGACGCCACGGCTGTTGGGTGGAGCATGCGCGCGAAGGAGATCTCGACGGCATCGTCGAACGCCTTGAAGAACGCATCGTGCCGGTGGCGGCGTCCCCTACCCCCACCGTCCTCCTCCCCGAGCTCGAGCAGCATCGAACGCCTTGAAGAACGCATCGTGCCGGCGGCGGCGTCCCCTGCCCCCGCCGTCCTCCTCCCCGAGCTCAAGCAGCGTCGAGGCCTTGACCCCAAACGTGACGCCGCAGATGTTGTCGAAGGCGAAGCGCTTGAGCACATCCTGCAGGTCAACGGCCACTCCGGCGTCGGCCGCGGTCGCGAGGAGAGGCAAGAGCCGGCGGTGTAGGTGGGCGCGGAGGACACGCCCCGAGAAGCGGCGCAGCGAGCGGGACGAGAAGGAGTAGGAGGCGAGCTTGCGCTGGAGGCTCCACAGGCGGCCGTCCGCGAGGAAGATGCCGCTACCGAGGAGGTCGGTGAAGGGCCCCGCGAAGCGCGCGCCCTTGACGTAGTTGGGGAACCCGGCGCGCAGCAGGTGGTCGACCTCGCGAGCGACACGCGAGCGCTCCTGGCCGCCGCGAGCAAGCGTCCTTCCAGCGGAAGCTGAGGGAGGAGCTCCGCCCGGCCGCCGCGAGCGCGAGCGCGGGCGAGCGAGCTCCACCCCGGTGCGGGCGCGGGCGAGCGAGCTCCACCCCGACATCGGCGCGTTGTGAGGCTAGCGCGCGGCGAGGAGGAAGGTGGAGCCGGGTCGTTGACTGTTTGGCCCAAGCAAGAGGATAAGACAAGAGAAGGGTATTTTGGACGTTTACATTGACCGAATCCATAAGTAAGGGCTGTCAAACGGTAAAAAAAAATAGAACACAGATAAAATGAATTGAAGAGCAAAGAAATTCAGAACGATGTCACTTATACGAGCTTAACTTTTTTAATAGGTTACGCATAATACAGGTAAAAGCCTTGTTTCAAAAAAAATACAGGTAAAAGCCTCTGTGAACCGTCCTGGTCTGATGCCGCGCACGCAGTTTGGCTACGCAGCGTGGAGCCATGGACACGTGGTCCTATCCAAGCTGGTGGAGCGCCTGCACCTACCACCGGTGGGCCTGCATTGCTGCTGCTCACTTTGGACTTTGAATGGCATGCGTGGCGGTGTTGCCGGCTGCTCCCCGCTCCTTTGACTTTTTTTTGGTAGTGCTGGCGTGAGATGACGTGTCTTTTAAATTTCATAACTTTTTCAAATGTGCTTCGAATTAAACAAATAATATATGTATTTTGATTATCTCAACGAGCTCTACGCAATGGTGTACTCTATTTTAGCATTCAAGATTGTTTTCCAATAGTAAATATTTGAATTACTATTCTATTCATTTTTGCACCAATTTGTAAGTGCTCCATATATTCAATATGTTCGCTCGGTCGTATTTGACTGATTTATCAGCCAACGAACAGTATTTTTCTCTCACACCAAACCAGTCAACAGTACTTTCAGCCATAGCTTATCAGTCAAACAAGCCCAAACGAACAGGACGATTATTTATACATATGTTTTAAATATCTGGTAAAACAACTCTAGAGCACCGATGTCTTGGAGTACGTGTGTAGATTAGTGGGAAGCAAGTTATATAATTATGTTTTATCATCTTATTTGTATATCTGATCAAATATATGTTGTTGATTATTTATTATATATTTTCCTAAAAAAATTATTTATTATATATCATTATATTACACCGGTTTGAAGTATTTGTGAGCGGTTCAATTTATCCAGTCCAAAATAATCGAACCGGCAATTCAACTGGTTTTTAACGGTTGGACCAGTGAACCATCGAATCGATGGCCTCACCGGTTCGATGTCGGTCATAATAACTATGACCCAAACCAGCGTTGGCCTTTTTATTTTTGTTCGAGTATGTTTTATTCAGCACATGTTAGCACAAGGAAACCGGTTTCTATAGGCCATGTCCTAGCCACCCTGATCTTATCTCTATTTTTTTCGAACATGACCTGCCTGGTATAAGCCTGCGATTACAGTTCGTCTAAGAGCAACTCCAATAGAGTTGCTATTTAAGTCGTGCATTCGAAATTTGACTATTTTAGAAGAAAACAGGGGTTCAACGGATGCAGATAGTCTAAAATAGCACGCTGTCCATTCCGCATATCTCGCTCGCTACAGAAACCAAGCTAGGGGCGCTCGCCATCACCTCCCTGCGCGCGATTCTCGCATGCAGCTTGCCCTCCCTGCACACGCGCCGAGCGATGGATGTTCTCTGCTCCTTTCCTGCGGCGCGCTCGGACTCCGCACACCAAAGGGGCGCTTGGCTGGAGGTACCAGGGTCGGCTCCGGCCAGGCCGCCGGCGGCGGCGAGCGGCGCTCAACGCGGATGGGTACGTGCGTGGCTTCCGCGCGGCCGGTGGCGGTGTGCCATGCATAGGGTGCAAAAGGGCGGCGGAGTCTGAGCGATGGGTAGCTTCAGGGGCCGTGGCGCAACTGCTTGCAGGGAAGGTGAGCGGCACATAGTTGTGGAGCAACATGCGAGAGGTAGAAGAAGATTCAGCCAAAACAGTGGCAGCTTTTTTTTTTTAAATATGGAGTTTTAATTTAGATAGTATGTTGGAGTAGTCTAGTTTTTTTTTAACCGGAATTTATTTTAGAAAATAGCCAAAAACTTGGATAGTCATTGTGACTAACCTCTTGAAAATGCTCTAAGAGACTAAGACGTTTTTTTCTATCCTTCCTAGCAGAAGTAAAAGGGTGTACCGTAGGCCGTAGCATTGCCCATTCCAGGACGAGAAGCACGCGGCACGCCAAAGTCATCGCTGATTTTCATCGAAAATACACAATGCAAGGTCGTTTTTTTTCTTTCTTTTTTTTCACTTAGCAACTGTTCGTCAGCATCAGCTAGGTCGTAATACACACGCCCTTTCATCCGTGAACCGACAAAGCCGTCACTTTCAAGGGATCCGTAAAAATTTTTTAGAGAAATGAACAACACATACCATTGCCCTTTTATAGAACTCATCCGTGAACCGGGTTCCACTGCTGCGATATGGATAGGGGGGCTCGAGCCCCCCGCCGCCCCACCGTTGGATCCGCCCCTGGTCACCTTGCTCTCAATCTCAGCGGCCCGTCGCACAGCACAGCGCACAGGCGCACTCCGGTAGCCGACGACCAGTTGCCCGCTCGGAGACGGCGACAACGACGGACATGGACCCACCACACCAGCGCGATGCCAGAGTAATTGTTGTGGCGTCCAACGCTACAATGGAAGGGCAGCCGCTGCATATCTAGTTATCTACGGAGTACTATGATATATCCCCACCGACACAGGCGGAACCTGAGCGGCGTTGGGTGCGGCAGAAAGTGGAGAGTTCGTCCACCACACCCAGCCCAGGATGGTCGAGATGAGCGGCAGCGGCGTGGGAGTGGTTCTCGCCGCATTCGCCGCGGCGCTGGTCCCGTTGCTGTGGGCGGCGCTGGTGCGCCAGGTGTGGCGGCCGTACGCCGTGGCGCGGGCGTTCGCGCGGCAGGGCGTCCGGGGCCCGCCGGTACCGCTTCTACGTGGGCAACAACCCGGAAGCGAGGGCGATGCTGGCGGCGGCGGCGAGCGGCGAGGCGCTGGAGCGGAGCTCCAACGACATCGTCCCCCGCGTGATGCCGCACGTTCGCGCGTGGGCGTCGCTCTACGGCAAGGTGTTCCTGTCGTGGACCGGCTCGACGCCGAGGCTGTGGGCGGGCGACCTCGACATGGCGAAGCGGATCCTCTCCGACAAGGCCGGGCTGTACGTGAAGCCCGACCCGGGATCCGCCTTGCTAGCGCTCTTGGGCATGGGCCTCGCCTTCACCGAGGGCGACGACTGAGCGCGCCACCGCCGCGTCGTGCACCCGGCGTTCGCCATGGACAGGCTCAAGTCGATGACGGCGGCGATGGCGGCGTGCGCGGCGGAGGTGGTCCGGGACTGCGGCGGTTCGCCTTCTCGAGGTGGCGCCGGAGTACGTGCACGCGCCAGTCGCCTTCGTGACTTTGCAGCCGTCGAAAGGGCTCCCGTCGTGCTCAGGCTCTTGGATCCGCACACTTTGGCCAGTTGAGACTTAGGGATGAAAACGGATCGGATACGAACGGATATCACTCATATTATATTTGTTCTCATATTTCTGTTCGGATTTGGATTCGGACATGGATAGCGTTCGGATTCATATACGAATACGGATTGACTCGGTTACGGATACGAATAATAAGTATCGAATACGGTATGAATCGGATTCGAAGAAGGTCGGATACAAATATCTATTCGGATATTGAGTAAAAGCAGCATATAATATATATATATATCATACGTGCGCAAACCATTACACCACTCTATGAGTCCATAATCCATCTAGATTAAGCCGAAAGACTAAAGAGTAAAGCAACAAATAAGATAAAGATACAGATACATCATACATCAAACATCATACAAGCACCAATCTTCGCAGCATGAGTAGAAATAGCCAAGCTCATGGCTTCATGGGTCTCATGGAGTCATGGTCATGGATTCAAGATCTACAATCCTTATATAGGCAATTTTTTCATTTGAGAAAGTTTGAATAAAATGTAGTTCAAATTTTACAAGTGTGTGACATAGTTTTAGAAAGTCTATATGAGATTCAAGAATTTGTAACTAGTGTTTGATAAAACTTTCTCAAATGGGAAAATGAGCTATGTAACAATTGTAGATCTTGCTGAGATGATCAAACTTGGTATTCAGAGTTTTTTCATCTGAGGTCATTTAGTGTCTCATTTGAGCAAGTTTCACCAAGTCAAATTTGGTCAAATGAAAAAACAACACTTTGACTCTAGTATTATGAACTCTAAATGACTTCAAATTGAAAAGTTTTGAATACCAAGTTTGTTCAACTCATCAAGATCTACAATTCTTGTTTTGGTCAACTTTCCATTTGAGATAGTTTGGACGGTTCAAATTTGTGATTTTTAAATTTCGATGCTTACAAACTAGTTTTCGGAACCCTAGATTGTCTCAAATTGAAAGGTTTTGAATACCAAGTTTGTTCAGCTCATTAAGATCTACAATCCTTATATAGGCTATTTTTTCATTTGAGAAAGTTTGAACAAAATATAGTTCAAATTTCACAAGTGTGTGACATAGTTCTAGAAAGTCTATATGAGATTCAAGAATTTGTGACTAGTGTTTGATAAAACTTTCTCAAATGGGAAAATGAGCTATGTAACAATTGTATATCTTGCTGAGATGATCAAACTTGGTATTCAGAGTTTTTTCATCTGAGGTCATTTAGTGTCTCATTTGAGCAAGTTTCACCAAGTCAAATTTGGTCAAATAAAAAAACAATACTTTGACTCTAGTATTATGAACTCTAAATGACTTCAAATTGAAAAGTTTTGAATACCAAGTTTGTTCAACTCATCAAGATCTACAATTGTTGTTTTGGTCAACTTTCCATTTGAGATAGTTTGGACGGTTCAAATTTGTGATTTTTAAATTTCGACGTTTACAAACTAGTTTTCGGAACCCTACATTGTCTCAAATTAAAAAGTTTTGAATACCAAATTTGTTCATCTCATCAAGATCTACAATGCTTATATAGGCCATTTTTCATTTGAGAAAGTTTGAACAAAATATAGTTCAAATTTCACAAGTGTGTGACATAGTTTCAGAAAGTCTATATGAGATTCAAGAATTTGTGACTAGTGTTTGATAAAACTTTCTCAAATGGGAAAATGAGCTATGTAACAATTGTAGATCTTGCTGAGATGATCAAACTTGGTATTCAGAGTTTTTTCATCTGAGGTCATTTAGTGTCTCATTTGAGCAAGTTTGACCAAGTCAAATTTGGTGAAATGAAAAAATAACACTTTGACTCTAGTATTATGAACTCTAAATGACTTCAAATTGAAAAGTTTTGAATACCAAGTTTGTTCAACTCATCAAGATCTACAATTCTTGTTTTGGTCAACTTTCCATTTGAGATAGTTTGGATGGTTCAAATTTGTGATTTTTAAATTTTGACGCCTATAAACTAGTTTTCCATTTGAGAAAGTTTGGACGGTTTAAATTTTGAAGCACTAAATGATTTCAAACGAAAAAGTTGTAAACAACAAAGTTTCATAACTTTTTGAGATCTACAATTTTTATTTTGATCATTTCTCCATCCAAGGTCGTTTGAATAATATCCGGATAATATCCGTTTGAAAATATCCGGATATATCCGATGCTTAACGCGCCGATATCCGCCTTATCGATGATATTACATCCGTTTTGATATCCACCTAAGATATCCGTTTTATTATCCGTATCAAAAAAAATTACGGATATCCGGTAACTATCCGTATAAGTGTTCATATTTGTTCAGGCTCTTGGAATAAATATCCACACTTTTTTCATCCATAGTTGAGATATTTAAGATTCCGTAGGCATGCAACATGTGCCTTGTCGACCCCTCATGCCAGTGTCAGTGTCACCTTCTCTTGTTTCTTCTCCCTTGTCTCCAGCAGGATCCACGGCTTGAGCAGTCCCCTTGCGGCAGATTTCGGCGGGCCCTAGCGGCAGATCTCACATTTTTTCCTCCTCTTTCTCATCTCAAATCCAATCAAACTTTAGTATGCATGATTTTTTTTTTTAAAAAATGTTTCAATAAATTTTGTTCAGAAATTGTTTGTGGCTCATTTTGTGCAAACAAAATTTGTTAAGAAACTTTGCGCATAATTCTTTGTTTTAACAAATTGTACTAGAAACTTTTGCATGCACAATTTATGTTCACAAATTAATCATCTCCTGTTTTCAGAAGTTATGTGAATATTGTTTTTCCATTTTCATATTTATGTCTACAACTAGCAAATATGCTCGTACGTTGCATCAGGAAAAAAAATCCATTAGAGGCGTGTTTGGGACTGCTATACGAATTCTGCTCCACACAATCCACCGTGGAGTAACTCCAAAAAAATCTAGAGTTTATGGTGCACCCCTTTAACTGCTCTCACAACTCCATTTTTTTTTTTAGAGCAGAGCTACATGGAGCTGGACCTGTTTGGCTGCGGAACTGAAAAACATGGAAACAAAATGAGGAGAAATCTACACATTTATTTATTTATTATGTTGATTTTTTATAAAATTTTAAAACTATAAATTACTCGTTAATAACTATGACTTCTAAGTTAATGTTTGCATTAATATGACAGTGTCCTATTAAGTATGTATCAAATTAAAACACAATTGTAATAGAGTTTTTCTCACACGTCAGTAATATTTACGCGTAAATATGTCATAATATTAATTTTGATACTATATATCACGTGTTTGATTATGCGGCATACTGTGGCACTGGCGTGGTTGTTTTCTGGGTGATGTAGATTCTGGAGGGCGTATACGTGTGCTGCATGGAGTCTTGTATGGGCCCATGCATGTATAACACGCACACACTCACCCTTATGATCACATGTACGCTAACACCTCTATGAGCATTTTCGAATGACTGAGTCGGCAGATCTCGAGATTCACGAAATTACCAAAGACGCCTCGCTGTCGATGGGGACGTCACCTACCACTAAAAGCATAGCACCAATAAATCCTAAAATAAATAAATTCAAAAAAATACGAACACCCGTGTCAAATCGCCACGAGAAACCCAACCAACTCGTTTGATACCGTCCACTGCATGTGAATTTGTGTGTCACCGTAACAAAAGAAAACGAAACCAGAAACGCTGGGAACTCGGTCGATCGTCAAACAGCTTGCGGCAGCATTGGAGTAGAGGCCGTACACGACGCCTTTTCTATGCCTGCCTAGATGCATGCATGTAGATAGAAACCGGCGGGTGGACGACTGAGCGGAAGCGTGAACACGTAGAGGTTCGACCGTCTCGGGCAGATAGATGGAAAGTCATAGGGATGCACTCTTCCTTGGTTTTTTTTTTTACAACAATGCACTCTTCCTTGTTGAACCCGCACATGCATGTGTAGTGCATGCTTGCTTGCATGTAACACGTATGCACGCAGCACGTGTGTGCATGCGCACACATCAGGCCCGTTTCTTGCCGAACCAATCCAACCCCGAAAGGGGCTTCGGCGGTGGCGACTTTAGCAACGCCGAGGTGGTGATTGCTCCGGCTCTCATCCATCTACTTGCATGTGCGTGTGGTGAAGAGGCAAACACCAAACGAATCGAAAGCCCACCATAAGCGGCAGGCTTGCATGTTGCCTTGCTTTTCGTCGCCGGCGGATGTGGTCCGTAGGATGAAAACGGATCGGATATGGACGGATATCACTGATATTACATTTGTTTTTATATTTCTGTTTTCGGATTCGGATTCGGATCCGAATACGGATAGTGTCAGCCATGCTGGATAGGAAATGATTAGGTATCGATATCATAAATATGCGATTTGAGTATTCGAATACGGATACGATATCGGATGTTGAATATCCGGATTCGGATACGGACAGATTTGAACCCTCCTAAACGGATTCGGTCTCGAATACGGTCGAAAAATATTCGTACCGTTCAGTCCTAGTGGACGCCGAACACCAACAGCATGCGTGTGTGCAGAGATCGAGAATTCGGGATCGATCTAGATTGCGCAGCAGGCGTTGACGCCAATGAGAGCATGCCCGGCCGTCCGCCTCGGTTCTTCCGTGCGTTTCTTCCGGTGGCCACTCGCGGTGCGGCGTTGATGGGACGCTCAACTCGGAAGAGACCAGGTAGGCATCTCCTCGCCGCACCTCCAGCGTGAACTATCTCGTGGCCTCGTCGTCGTCAGCGAAGTCGGTGAGCGAACGGTCAAACACTGCGCGCGAGCGGGCGTCGTCGTCGAGCCTGACCTCCGCCAGGACGCACTTCGGCGTTCCG